CAACAAACCAATCTGGCTTCGGAATGATTTTGCGGTGACCATCCCCCAGCTGAATCCCACGCCTGTAGCAATTAAAAGGCAGAATCAATGCGAATGTCGCCATGAGAACCAACAACACGCCGGCACGTCGAGTGAAACTTGCGGCCATCCCTTGTTGTTTGGGCTTCGGCTTTGAGGGTGGGGTGCTAGAGCCCCAGGGTTCAGGTTTTGCTTTGCTGTTCATAACTCAAGAACATGATGTAAGCTTTCATCTGCTGCTTGCTGACATGTTGCCAACTTGATTGCACAAGAACAAGTTGCTGTGTATCGACTGTCGGATTCAAAACGGCTGGTGGGCCAAATACTGTCACAAAAACCACTAACAACACGTCCGCACGGCGCACTCGAATGAAATGTGCTGTCATGTGTCGGTGTTTGGGCTGTAGGGGGGGTTACAGAGCCTGAGGGTTCAGATTTTGCTTTGCTGGTCGTAATTCAAAAATATGATATAAGCTTTAATCTGCCGTTTGCTGGCATTTTGCCAACGTGTTTTCGCACAAGAACAACCTGCTCTGCATCGACTGTCGTGGATTCAAGACGACTTGTGGGCCAGACACTCACCACTGAATGTGAACCATGCCACCATTGTTCATTGCAACACGTCAGGCACCAGATCTCAATCTTCAAAGCAATGACGATCACTCAGCCGAACAAAATGTGCGAAAAAGAAGCACTTGGAAGACGGCGCCCCTAGACAAAATCCACAGCATCACTCGCACAAGTATTCCTCGCCACATGTCGAGGCTTTCGTACAAAAAAACAACAAAATTTCACTCCAGCTGCACTTAGTCGGGAAAAACAAGCATTCAAAAGAGGCGATACCAAAACAAGACCCGAGAAAAACCAGAATCACAGCTAAATGCCTGCCGGCCCGCCAAACACGGAGACAACACTCCAAAAACACTGTGTTTTCATGGTCGCAGCTCGGAGTACAAGAAAATAAATACATTTGGAAGAGATGACCCCCTATGCCCCGGGTTGCTGTTCCGAAGGGTTTTCTCGAAATCTAACAGCATGATGGCTTCCTGCTCCGCCTCGGGCGCTTGTGGATGGTGCCGGCAATCTCCACCCCATCCATGAAGGGCCGGACGACGGTCCTCAAACTCCAGCCAGGAGTGTGCGATGAGGGCCAGCGTCGCCGTGCGGTTAAGGTTCCGGGCCGCCAGGTAGGCCGTGAGCTGAGGGCCTGCGCCCGCCGCCGCCGCCAAATCAGCGAACGGCGTCATCAGCGACGACGCCAGCGTGGGCGCCGCCGGCGTCGGCGCGAGCACCGCGGGGGCCGGAGGAAGGCCCGGAGCCGCCATGACCAAGCACGGCGCCGAGAGAACCTAAGCCGAGACACGCCGCAAGAAGGCGGCGACGCGAGAGCCAGAGAGCTAGAGCCGGTACAAGAGTTGCACTGACCGCCAATCCACTCAAGCCCTCGGGCCCCGCCGCTGCCGTTTCTTTTCTCACGACGAGACTCGGACGCCGACCGGAGAATCCACCGGCTCGGTCGGTGAACCTTCACCTTCACCCTTAGCCGGGGCCGGGAAACAGCGGGCGCACCAGGCAGCGGACGCCGGCTTCTCAGAAACCCTGAAGAAGCGCCGAATGCCGTAAGGCCAGGCGCCGCACCTCGACCTCCAGAGGAACTGCTCCGTGCTGCTGTAGCTCTCCTCGCCTCGTCGGTGGCCGCTGTGCCGCCACCGCCACCCGCCAGCACTCTGCCGGGGATCTCCGAGCCAGGCCGCGCCGGCTACCCGCACCCACCTGGACTATGTGGCCCTCATGGTCCACCGTGGTGAGGGCCACCCAGCTGAGAGCAGCACCCGCCGGAAGAACAGGACCGTCTCACCCTTGGCCCATGTTTCTCCCGCCGAGTCCGGGAACAGCGGCCGACCCGGTGCCACAGGCCAGCCGCCTTCAGCCTGGATACATGTCTCAGTGCCGCGTGCGCCGGGCACATCGGCCTGGATGCCACATGCACAGCGGAGCTGCCGCGCCGTGAGCTCCCTCTCGCCACCCTGCGCCGTCTTGCGCAGGAGGAGGGCATCCGCCGCATGGGCCGCCTTCCATGGGGCCCAAGGCTCCGCAGCTGACGCCGGCGAGGTGTCCAACAGGGGTTCCAGCCGCATTGCCGGGAAGATGGCTTCAACTTGGAAGCCAGGCCACGGACCACCGCCTTGGCGTATCGCCGGATGGCCCGCCGAAGGAGTGGGTCCACGAGCTCGCCGCGGAAGTGCTCCTGGTAGGTCACCGCCGCGTCGAAATAGTTTTGCGCCGAGCGGTACCTTCCCTTTCGCAGGCTCGCCGCGACCTCCGCACCGCGTCCAAGGATTGCCGTCACGCCGGACAAAGATATCACTCCGCACGGGCTGTGCCTGGCGATCCTCACCGCCAACAGGCGCCGCCGGTGGCTAGGAGCGGCAGGAACTCTTGAGCCTGGATGTCGACGAAGGCCCGCGCCACCGCCGCCGGCCGAGAGGTCAACCGCCGACATCCTTGAGCCGGGGGGGAGCTTGAGCCGCGACGACCTCAACGAACGCGCCACGACGATTAGGGTCAAAGGGCCGGGCCGTGTGGGCAACAGCACTGCAACTTGCGCCGACTGCACTCCACTCGCACACCGCCGGTCCGACTTTTCGCGCCAGGCTATGATCCGAGGCTCCTGGGCCTCCCGACCTGCACTTTCGGCACGCCGGGAAGCAATGGCAAAAACTAATTAAAGCATCGTGGGCCCGCGGCCGCCGGAGAGGCCCGCGAAGGCATCGCGGCGCCGCCGGGACCAAAAATGAAGCAAAGAACCGGCTAAGGGCTACGCCAGGAGACCTACCAGGCGGGCGCTCGCCAGGAAGAGGGGCTCGCCGAGGACAAAGTAGCCCGCCGGCGGGGTGGCACTAGAACCGGCCGTCACGCGTGTTCCGGAAGCGCCGGCACAGATCACAGAGGTGATTGTTGTGCGCCTCCAGATCCTCCGCGCCACCCCGCCGGATCAAAATTGGCCGGAGGCATCTGCCGCCAGGGCCGTGGCAGACGCCTTCAAAGCCGGGGCAGGGCCGGCCATCATCGCCGCGGGCACCGGGATGTTGGAGGAGGCGCCTGGCTGATTGATCCGCCGGATGTGCTCCTGCCACTCCACGGAGCAGAGCCTAAACCGAACATCAACCAAGCGCCGGAAGAGCTCGTCGTTCCTGCGGCGCTCTGCATCCGTCGCCGTCGCCGTCCGGCCGGGGCGCCGCGGCAGCTCCGGGAAGCCTTCCCCCGTGGCCCGGTTGACCGTGTAGGTCTCGCCGCGAATCTCCATGCGGACGAAACCAGGAGGGACCGGCGCCGGGGCAGCCGCGGGGCCCCCGCCGCGATCTGCGCGGCAATCTGGTTCAGATTCTGCAACGCCGCCATCTCGGCCGAGTTGGGGGCCGGCGTTTTTGCCACCGGGGCCGGCTTCGCCGGCGGAAATGACGGCTGCTTGGCGGACGCCGCCCCCCAGGCCATGCAAAACTCCGCCGCCGTGGTGAAGTTCAGGGCAGCCGCCTGCCGGGCATCCGCCTCCGAGAGGAAGCCTTCGGAGGCCCAAAAAGCGACCGGCGGCCCCTTGTCCTTGGGCTTAGACGGGATCGCCGCCGCCTTTGGCTGCTGCGGCCCAACATCCTGACCCGCCGGCACTGCCGGGGGCTGCTTCCTTGTTGGCGGGAGTGGCCACGGCGCCGGGTAAGTGCAGGTGGCTCAGGACTCGGCTCTGGCACCGCCGGTCCCGCCGAGCTCGAGGCTGCGCCAGCATCCGAGCTGGAGGCTGCGCCGGCAGTTGAACCACCATCGCCGCCACCAACTCCATGTGCCGGCGATGCCGCCTTAGGCGGTGCCGGGTTCACGTTTCCTGCTGTCCGGCTCGCCGGTAACGACGCCTGCAGCATCAAGATCAAGGCCCGCCTGGCGCCTGCGGGGAACTGTTGGAGGAAGGGAGCCAAGTCCTCCCCTTCTTCCAACGCCGCGAGGATCACCGCAAAGGCCGCCTCGATATCCACCGCCGAGTACGACATGGCAAGGCCGGGTGGAGATGCTACAAAGCGCCTGGTCACCGAAAAAGCGACGTCGAGCCGGGACAGCTGCCGGCACGACGAGTCGCTCATGTCAATGCGCACACACGTGTGCTACACCACAAAATCAAAGTCTAGCTTGTCGGTCCTGATCTATTCTTCTTCGCTGGATGATATTCCACATATCGATCCTCGCTGAACACGTCTTGTACCATCAATTCCAGCAAAATCTTCACCTCCCGGACGGCATTGCATGTTGCTTTCAGGCACTCAGCGCATCTGGCATCACCAACATGGCTGCGAACAATTTGACTTATTGTCGTGCGTCCTCGGTACTCTCGTTCGACTCATTCCAGGTGGCCAGTGGCCAACACTTTGAGGTTTGTAGGTCAGATGCACCCCCGCCGGTTCCATGGTTCGTGCTCTCGGTCCGTGCACACTGTCGACTCAAGTCCTGTTCTTTCCAAATCCCGTGTCGGCGTCTTCCAGGCACAGAGGCATGAATCTTTTTTTGCGAGTCGCCATAAGCCCTGCTTCCGCCAACGTTCGGTGGCATGTTCAGGAGTGCCTATCGTGGCGTCTCCCGATTCCCGCCCGAGTGCGTGATTCATTTTGGACTCACGGGATGGTCTGGGCCTGCAAGCTGCTCCTGGAATTTGGGAGTGGCTATATGCCCTTGGACCATGCAGGGCCTGGACTGCCAGGTGATGTTTCACTGTTCGGTTTCCAGGCTGGCTCGCTCGGCTGCAAGACCCTGATCGAGTTCCTTACAATCTAGTAATGCTCATAGACGTTAGACCCTCAAGGACTCAAGGATGTCCCGATGTCCCGGTTCAAACGCATCCCCGAGGTCACCCTCAGCGTACACGGCCGCTCAAGGCCCCGTTGCGATTGATCATTAATCACCAAGATCCAGTATTCAGCTGAGTATGCAGGAGCCGTGTCCTGTGCGTCTGCACCAACTGACTCCAGCGTCGCATACAGCAGCACAACTGCAAGAGGCTGCGGCCTTGGAAATTCTGTGACAAATCCACGTTGCAATGACATCCCGGTCAGGATAAGTCCTTTGGGCCGTCGGCGGCTGGTTGACAGTTCGGGACATCCAATGCCAGACCATGCCCAGATCACCCTTAGACACTGCGACTGCTGCCTCTCAAGTCCCAAAATGCCTCAAAAGCTTGGTGCACTTGGAATCCGGCCTGTGTCACAGCTATTGCTTGCAGGAAGCGAAGCCGAGCGGCCGCAGTGTTCACGTATTCATCAAACGCCTGTGAGGGGAGAGGTCTCACGTTGATGCTCGGACCAAACATGATGTCATTCTGTGACCTCGCTTGACAGATCGGGCTGGTTTCGGAAATCTGCCAGCACAGCTGGGCTCTTGTGGCCTCACACGCAAGACCCAGCGAGCACGGATTGCACAGCATAAGTCAAGTGGACATCGCCCTGAGAGCGGAGCAAAGCAAGCCAGTTAGCATCTCCTCGAATGTCAAACAAAGCACACGTGCCATGCAGTGTGCTCTCTCTCTCTCTCTTTCTTTTTCTGTCTCTCTCTCTATCTCTCTCTCTGTCTCGCTCTGTGAATTGGTAGATCCTGTGCTTTGGGGTAATGGTCGAAAACTCGGCAAGCGACCTGTCGGCTAAGGACTCTCCCAGCCTGTGCACACAAGCAAGGAGCAAACGGCCTGTGCCAGCGGCCATGGCTTTACCTTCAACCACGGAATGGCTTGGGAGGGCTTCGGGAGGGAGCCTTGCGCTGAGGTGTCAGTCATATGGGGCCATATGGGGCCCCGATGGCGCCGCATGCACCCCTCATTTCTGCGCTCCGAGAAATCGCTTGATGCGACGGGTGGGGTTGAATAAGGTTTACTTCTCGTCTATGCTCGGGCAGGAAGTTGGAATGACGTACAATGACGTGCAAGGGCAGCTTGGGGAGGAAGTCAGGTAGCTTCCAACACGTTGATCCAAGGCTTGGTGGTAGTTCGGAACGGTTGTGGTACCTTGCCATATCTTGCCATGGCCATGCCATTCTTCCTAATCTCCAAGAAAGATCTACTGCATAGGGCTTGGTCTCGTTCATTTCATCCATGAGTGGCCGTTGTTATGACCTTTCCATATTCGTCCTTTGTCTGTTGCTGTGTGTGCACCGAGGGCGCTATGCATGGCACGGGCATGGCAGAAAGCATATCAAACAGAAGTTCTCGCAGTCTGCCGGGAGTCTGCAGTTTTCATACCCACCCCTCAGGTCCAGGTGAACAAATGTTTCTAGGTCCTAGGTACTTGTAGGGAGAAGTACGATGGTGGGGGTGTCACACGGTCACACAAATCCTCACAAGAAGGACTGGCCTGAGGCATTGCTTGGCCTGCAAGGATATCTGCAAAGGCAAACTCCACGTACTCCTTCGAAGCATCATCCTGCAAAAACGAAACTGAATTTGGCCGTTGCTGTGAGCAGCATTCACCTACTTCTTGCGTGCGGCGGATTCGCAAAAACGGACCTGGCAGTGGACCTGCATAAACTCCAACACACGATTTGTAGTAGCCTGATGGACATGCAGGGTTCGTCGAAGCAAAATAAATCATAGTCAACACTGACACAATGCCTTTATTCCGCTCCACACCGCACTGACGGCTGTAATGTTCCTCCTCAGTGTCATCTTGACCTGAAACAGACTTCAGGCTGGACAGGCAGAGGCAGTGTATTTCTTATCACACTGCTGATGCATTCTCACATTCTCACTCGCCCTGCTGAATCCAGCCTGCTTTCGCATCTCTTTTCGGCTGGCATCTGCCTCGAATTGTGCCGCAGCCTGCTTCGCCTGAGACAGTGCCCCGGCGCCCCTCGAGTCAAGGTCCACTGGAAAGGAATATGGCAAGGAACGACTGCGCAAGCGCCAAAGAAGCGAATGCGCAGGAATGCCGCAGGAACCCCGAGAAGTGTGGGAGCACGCGGCCCAAGGCTTCGTTTTGTGTGAAAGCACCCTGTGGGCTCCCCGTTGGCGACAAGATGAAGCATCGTGTGGGCACCAAAGCTGAGCAGCTCTGCGGAGAGCATCGGTCTCATGAAGTTGAGCTCTGCTATGAAGGACGGAGCTTCCGTACACACGGACTCTGATTGAACAAGGCGCAATGTGACGACCTTTCACTGCTGCGAGATGGAGGGACTGAGGCCTGTGGTGATGACGACGAGAGCACTGTATAAATCCTCGCTTGTTTCGCATGTCCTGGGGACTTTTGAAAATCCCAGAGAAGCAACGAAGGTCGAAAGCTAATGCAGCCGATTGAGCATCTGAACTCCGAGGTGAGACTGCCACGACAGAGTTTGCCGAGTGCCGAACAGGTCTATGATGGTGCTGAGCAGCGATGCTCTGAACGACATGTGGGCTTTTAGCTATGCCTATGAGTCGGTGAGCCGCAACTGATACGCTAAAGCCTCCGACATCAAATGATTAAAACAAACGAGTAAGCACATGCAACAGGAAGCGACTACTGCCTGCTAGGATCGCACGCAGTATATATGCAAGCAATACACCAACGATTTATGATATGTGTATACATAAACATATACACTTACACATACATATACATGTTAGACATATACACCGACATACGCACACATACACCTACACCTAATTACACCTAGACATACATTTTGACATACACACAGACATACACATGCATATATCTACATCTACATCTGCATCTACATCTACATGTACATAGACATAAACCCAGACGTACACATATATGTATGACGATGCCTATACCTATACCTATACACATACATACATATAAATACAATATAAATACAATATATATATATATATACACACATACGTACATACACATACACATACACCTGCACACATACATATACGATGTAATCCATCTGTGCATACTTGTGTAGCTTCCAATGTTTGACCCAGCGGATTTATGTACCAAGATGATCATCTGCCTTCTGAAGGAGTGTGTTTGATGTGGCGAACTCGTACTCAAGACAGAACTCAACCATACGAGACCTATTCTGAAGTTGCGCAGAGCTCAATACACCAAGACCGTGAGTTTGTGCACCTCGTGTAAACTGTCCTACTGCAGAGGATGCATGTGGTAGTGCTTTGATGAGCCTAGCATAAAAAACATATTAAAAACACCACAACACAGATTATTTGAAGGGAAAGGTGTAACGATCTTCGATTAAAGATCGAAGCTCAGTGCTGTTTGCTAGCTCCGGATTGGTGTGACAGGATTGAGGAACCCCACAGGCCCAGGCGCCTTGGGTGGTTACCTCAGGCACCCTCCACCTAATCCTCCTCCCTGCAGCCCAAATGCCCCCTCCCCCCCCCCCCCCCCTCCCCCCCCCCCTCCCCCTGAGATGTAACCTGGACGTGTATCCCTCGCTAGGCGTACAGGAACACAGGCACTCAGGTGTCTCTTTTGCTACAGGCGCGCAGCTGTAGTCCACTGCACTAGAACCTTGAGCAACAGGCATGGATACATGCAAGTGATACGTGAAACAGACAGGCACCTGGATGTGTAACATTCAGTGTTTCAACCAGGCACAAATTTAAAACACGTAGAGCTGCATGGCCGTGGAGTCGGCATTCAACTAGCCTGTTATTGCTCTCGGTCGAATTAGCGGAGTATTGAGCTACATCTGCGACTTGAAGAGAATCTATACATCTCTCACTTGAAGACAGCTTCAATGAAAAGAGCAGAACACGCACGGAAACGCAAACGGATCTTCAACTGAAAACTTTTCTTGAAAATTGCCCACTTGTGTTCAATTTCCTCTCCAGGCGGAAAGCTTACTGTCACATAAAAGATTGTAGAGCTTAGCTCCACTTGATGCCAGCATGACATCTTGCGACACGACAAATGTATAAGCTGACAAGGTCTATAAGGAAGTACCTCTTCATGAGAAAAGCATCTTCCTATGAAATGGCGAATGCTCAAACTGGATACCTTCTTATGAAAGAAGCATTCCGTGAAACACTCACTCCACATCTTCCAACGGACCTTGGTTCATCACCCTCTGGTTGTACTGCTCAACCATGCGACGAGTTCGAGGACTGTCGTCTGGATGAAGCAGCCGGTAGTGTGGGTAGTACCATCTCTCCAAACTCCAGTGATGAAGCTGTAGGTGAAATGGAAACCACGGTCTACCACCAAAGGATGCTGGGCCAGGACCAAGGTCTTCGTCAGGAACGTCAACGTCTGCGTCCTCGCCCTCGTCTGAACCTATAGTCAGTTTTTGCCCTTGGCCTTGCCTTTGGACTTGTCCTTGGTCTTGCCTTTGGACTTGCCCTTGTCGGCGTCCTTGCCTTTTCCTTTGGAGGACTTGCCTCCTTTGCCGCCTTCTCACCAGGAGGTTGTGCGGGTTCTTGAGGACGTTGAGAACCAGAAGCTTTAGCACCAGAAGCTGCCTCTTCCTGAGAAGAGCTTGCTCCCTGTGGTGCGGCTGCAGGACCAGTAGAACCAGAACCACGCGCCTTGTTCAGCTTCTGTCTCTCTTTTCTTCTGTCCGCGGCTTCCTTCATGGTGTCGGGATTGCGGTTGAGTGCCCTCATCCTGCTTCCAGAGTACTGGTTCGCGTGAACCTCGATGAGGAGCGGACTGTGAGCGTCATAGTCCCGATCGTTGAGAAGGTACGCGGCGCTGGTGGAATTTAACAGCCACTCAGAGACATGGATGTCGAACTCGGTCTTTGAAGGTGGAAACTCCGCCCATTGATCGTCCGACATGCTGTGTCCCCATTCCATGACTGTAGCCATAACAGGATCCAAACCAGGAAAAGTATTCCAGTCTGGTTGCTTAGCTTCCTTGTATGGCATTCCCAGCGTGTCCTCATACTGCTTCAGAAGCCACATGGCGTTTGCTGACACATGTCTCGCACGAGGCGAACAGAGGTGTGGGCACTTCGGGCTTTCTGACCAGGCCTCCAAGAAGTAGTCGAGAAGGCTTTGGTACATCCCGCCACGAATATCCAGTGACTCTTGCTTTCTGCCGGTGGCCCGGTAGAGGGCCATGTTGGCGTCGCCACCGATGAGATCGACTTGGTAGTGCAAGCAGTCAATGAACATGTTGCCCAACACTTCATGAGCCAACGCCACCTTATCTGCCGCCGGGTCGTTGTGGAGGTGGAAGACACAAACTCTGATACGGTCGGATCCAGCCCGCTCCAAGCAAGACCTTGGTCAGTGACTCATCTGGAACATCACCACGACTGCCCTGGAGGCCGGTCGGTAACGTCATGCCATACACGATCTCAGCATAGCATTCAAGAGTTCTTCTCGAGTTGCCGGATTGCCGCTTGCATCCAGGGACTTCAGCTTATCAAGAAGTGCTTCCATAACCTCCAATGCTGATTCTCGGATGTCAGAGGCCTTGCCCATGAGCTTGTCATCCAAGGTGCTGCGAACGTCCCCAGAACGAAAGACAACGTCCTTCTTGTCGGGACGACGCTCATAGATGGGAGCCATCTTGTTGAGTTGGTCGAAGAGGTCCCCCATAGAGAGAGAGTACTCCTGTCCCTTGTGATTCGGAACATTTACCCTCCAACTCATATGCTGCACCTTGTAGGCAAGAACGGGCTCGTAGTCAGGATCGCGCAGTCCTGTATGACACATGCAAGCCTGAATAGCCATATCCACGCAACTGCTTGGAGAGCAGCCGCATAGGGCTTTGTCGTTCGATTTCGGTGAGCTGCGAAAGGAAATGTTTGAACTCTTCGATATCAACGAGCTCGATCTTTTCCTTTGCCTTGCCCATCTTGTCGAACGCGTTCTCATTCTGGTCCTCTGCATCCTTCGCGGCCTGGTAGTACTCAGGGTCCGGAACAGTCTTGCATTTCCCCCAGATGCCTTGATCGTGAAGTTCACTTTCATCATCCTTTTCGGGAGAAATGTCTGGCATGGATTCCTCACCCTGTGGTGAGCTTTCATCAGCCATCTCGATGTTCTCGGACTTACCTCCTTCCTGACCCATGTGCTCATCAGATTCGACCTTCACCTCGGATGCCTCTCCCTGTGGAGAGCTTTCCGTGGCTTCGGTCTTCTGTTGTGGGACATCCACCCCAGATGCCTCTCCCTGTGGAGAGCTTTCCGGAGCGTCCGTCTCCATTGGCTCGACAGTAGCCCCAGATACCTCTCCCTGTGGAGAGCTTTCTGGAGCTTCAGTCTCCATTGGCACATCGGTCGGCTCGGTCTTAACCGGATCAACCTTCTTGCCCTGTGGCAAGTCCGTGGATGCAGTCGACGGTTCGGAGGTATCCATCTGAGTAACTGCGGGAGGCTCCTCGATCTCCTCGATACGTGGACATGGGAGTCGCTCGATGAACTCCTCGATCATAATGTCTTCATATGGTCGGGTGAGGAGCTCATTCAGCTCGGACTCCTTCTTCGCCTTCAAGTCCTCGTATAAGCCACCAAGTCCGCTTTGGCCTTGCGTGCGAAAGCCGATTTGAAATCTCGGTGCTCAGATTCTGCGAAGACTTTCTCCAGAACCGCCAGAAGGTAGCTGCCGCTGAACGGCTGCTTGAGGGTACTGTCGTAGAGACATAGCCCTCAGGGGTTCGCACCGTGTATTTACGGCGAACCTCCAGATCACTGGCGTGGCGCTGGATGTAGGAGAAGAAGTCCACTCCGTATGCCTCATTGATGATGCGGACGAGCATCTGAAAGTCCTCTCGCACATTGAAGACCTCTTCGTACACATACCTTTCCCTGAGGAAAGCCTTGTGTGCCTCGAGCTTGCGAGAGTAATCAGGATCCTCCGTCTTTGGCATCTTCGCACGAGGATCAGAGTCACGAGGGCGATCGAA